AGAGATGGGGCCAGGGCCATCTGGGAGTTATGTACCGACTCTGGAGCCTCCAGAATCTGACATCAGCGAGGCAGAGGAACAAGGGGAGCCTGTTCCCAGTGCGCGCTTGCGCAGAGCTGCCAGAAGGCAAGAACAATTAAGACAAAAGGGGCGACTTGGGAATAAGGCTTGGAGGTGATTGGTCCTCCCATAAGACATAAAGGAGGAGCAAAGGGACAGGAGCCTTTGCAGGAAGCAACTTTGTTCGTTCTGGTCGGTTTAAACTCTGAGGCTCCATGTTGAGTTTGTGCTCCGTTTGGCCTCATATAACTAATTGGACATTTAGTCTTTGGCAGCATTTCAAGGGAGATAAAGGTGGGTGCTTATCAGCCTTATCCCGAAGGACTGTGGCAGATTTCTCTTGGGCTATTCACAAACTGTTTGGGACTCATTACGGGGCTGTGAATGCAGATAATTCTCAGCCGTTTAAATTTTTTTTTAAAAAGTGGGGTTTGGAAACAGCGTGTGATTGTTACTGTCTCAGGAAGCCTTGGTCAGAACAAGAATCAGGCACCCCACTTTCCAGCACCCCAAGAATCACCCTTTTGCATTTTGAAAGCTTTCATCTCATGGGTGTCCTCGGTGTGTGCGTTGGGGAAAGAAACAAAATGCAAGATGCCAACTGCGCGGTAGCTTTGCCGGCGTTCATGAGGGCTTCACAACACTCATCCCCACAAAGGGTCCATGGAAGCAGGTTCCTGAGGTAGCCCCCTGCCCTTCTCCTTGGGTGGCTCTCATGACGAGAGGGCTGTCTGCAGAGGTGGTATTCGGCAGGTTCTCACCGGTTCTGGAAAACCACCAGTAGTGGAAATTATGAGTAGTTGGGGGAACTGGCCAATCCCACCTCTGACTGGCCCCGCCCCCATCTATCTTCTGGCCCCACCCCCATTGATGTCCCCCTTCTGAGTCCCAGCTGATTGGCTGGGACTCCTTTGGTTGCCCTGCCCAGGAGAATGGAGCTGGAAAGCAGGTTAATGGGGTTGGGGGTCATGTGACTAAGTGGGAGTGAGTGACATCAAGTTGGCCACGCCCAACCAGGTTTTGTGGCTCCCGCTGTTGTTGGTTTTTTTTTTCCTGTGGAAAACTGGGTCCAAATGGCTCTGAGTGTTTAAGGTTGCAGATCCCTGCCTTAGACTTATACAGCTAGTCCTTGACTTGCGACCCCAATTGAGCCCAACAATTATGTTGCTAAGTGATGCATTTGTTACGTGAGTTTTGCCCATTTTACGAACCTTTCCAATCCCGTTTGCCAGCCCTGCCTAACAGTGGTGGTATCCTACCGGTTCGGCCCGGTTCAGCCGAAACGGTAGCTCCGAGGATCATCTGTGAGGGAACTGGTTCGCTCCTACAATCCGCTGCTGGGCCCTGCCTGCCTGCCCTGGCTCTGTCCTGATCTTTATTTCCTGGTTTTGAAGCTCAGCTGCTTCACGCGGCACAGCCAATTGCCGCGTGTCAGCGGTTGAAGACGTAGGGCGAGGGCACGATTGCAAGAGAAAGTCAGTAGCAAGCCCTAGGTGCGCACGCGCAAAGCACGCCCACCAAGCCCCGCGCCCAGAACCAGTGGTTAAAAAAAGTTGAATCCCACCACTGTGGCCTAGACCCGTGATGGCGGAACTATGGCACTTGTGCCACAGGCGGCACGCAGAACCATTTGTATGGCACGTGAGCCCTAGCCAAATTGACCTGCACTGCGCATATGCGTGCCTCTCGGCCAATTTTAGGCACATTTGAGTCTGTTTTCACCCTCCTGGGAAGCCTCTGCGGCCTTAGGAGGCTGAAAAACGGGCCTTCCTGAAATACCGGAAGTGCCGAAACAGGCCCGTTTTTCGGCCTCCAAAGGCCGCAGAGGCTTCCCTTGAGACTCTGGGAGGGCAGAAACGGCCTCAAACGGGCCCAAAATCAACTGGGAGGCGCACGTATGCGCAGTGCAGGAAAGAGGGTGGGGCAGGGGTGTTGCACGCACATGCTTGGGGGGGGCAGGGGGCGTTGCATTGTGGGTGCCGGCGCACGCTCACTTTCAGCGCACCACAAGAAAAAGGTTCGCCCTCCCTGGCCTAGGCTGCCTCCTGCCTCCTCCCCCGCCTTCCATGCCTCTAGGCTGCCTCTGACTTGATCTTTCTCTTCGCAGCTGATGGACGTCAGTCTGGATCTCTGGAAGGCCTACAGTAAAGTGGATCCCAATTCTTTGGAGAGCTTACTTGACGAGGTAAAGTGTCCAGAGTCTTTTTCCTGAGGGTCATTTTTTAAAAATAAAATAAAAAAAACATCGATCAGCCGAGTGGTTCCGTGGACGGACAAGGAGGAAAATCTGCAGAGCGATGGTTCCTCGTTTCAAAATGGCTTCCAAGATGGACTCCGTTCTGGGAGCACAGAGAGCCAGTCGCTCGTCTGTTTGTTGTCCAGATGCATTTGAGAATGCTTGTTGGAGTGGTGCGGTGGTGGCCTAGAGGTGAAGCTCTCGCCTCACAATCAGGAAGCTATGAGAGTTCGATCCTGGGTAGAGGCCGGTATTTCTCTGGACACACTGAGAGTAGATCTGCTGAACAAAACTCCGAACTAGCAACAGGAAAGGCATCCGGCCATTAAAACACTCTGCTAGCTCCGTTCAGTTGCCCAGACTCCCCCCCCCCCCAAACAAGGGATTATGGGGTCATTAAAAGAAGAAGAAGATGATGGTCATGGCTTATTCTGCCAAGGGGCACGGGCAGTGATCAGGCCGTTGGTTCTTTTGGATCCAGTGAACATTCCAGCAAATAAAGGGATTTTAAGCTTTACTGTTAGCTCCAGCAAACTAATGTAAAAGTGTAACATTCGAACAAGCCGATTTAAAAGCGTAACACAAAAAAGCAAAATGACAGTCCTTGACTTAGAAACCATTCATTTTAGTGACCCTTCGAAGTTACAACGGCACTGGAAAAAAAGTGACTTACGACTGTTTTTCACTCTTAGCGACTGTGGTTACACGATCAAAATTCAGGCGCTTGGCCACCGGCTCCTATTTATGGCCCATTGCTTTGCTTGCAGAGTCATGCAATCCCCTCTGATTAGCAAAGCCAACGGGGGAAGCAAGATTCATTTCATCCACCTTGTTAACTCACTTAACAAGTGTGGCAGGAAAGGTCACAAAATGGGGCAAAGTTCACTTCACTGTCTTGCTTTTTGCAATGGAAATTTTGGCTCACGTTTTGGTAAGTGAAAGGCTACCCATACAAAGTTGTTTTTTTCCCCCCCAAATACGCTGCGCCCCTTTTCGAGTTCAGTGTGCGAGCTGTGCTCAGATCTCCATTCCCTGCCATGTTGTGGCTTCTTTCCATTTCGGTTTTTTGGGCTTGCTGTGGGCTCCCAGGTGTGTTCGTTCCGGATTCCAAGAAGCTTTTCGTTCTAGCTTTTTTAATATGGTGGAGGGTTTTCTTTAGAGAAAATGGGGAGAGTCGAAAACTGGGCCTCTGCTGACATCTAGTGGCCGTTGCCTAAATTTTATTCAGACAACTTTTTTTCTTTCAGCCAGTTTGTATCATTTTAAAAACAGATGCTTGTGTAGATATTTCTGCTCTGAAGCATCCTTCCGAGCAAGTTTTGGGTCTGTTAGCAGAACCTCTCCAAAAAGAGGCATATTAAGCGATCGATTGTATAGGCAAGATGGTGGACCTGTCTTAGGGGGCACGCATCTTTTTTCTCAAACCGAAACCAATTAGTTCCTCCTCAACTGAAATCAAATCGGAAGGGATTGCTCTCGGCTGGGCAGGGCGAGGTTGGTGGAACGCTGCCCAATCTTTCCCCATTCCTGTACAAGACCTTGGTCAAGGCCGAGCCTTCACGTATCGAGGAGGAGACACTTCGGGGCACTTTGATCTAATGGTTGAGTGATCAGGTTAGAAACTAGGAGATGGTGAGTTCTAGTGTGCTTTATTAGACATGAAAAATGGGCTAGCTGACTTTGGGCCAATCGCCAGGAGACCGGGAGTTCTAGCCCCACCTCAGATATGAAACCGAGTTGGGTGACTTTGAGCCAGTCACTCTCCTGGAAAAATAGGAGGAGGAAGGAGTATGGCAAGTGTTTCCTGCCTTGAATTATGTCTAAAAATGATAACGCTGGGATATAAATAAGTTATATCAAATTGCCATACTCTTTTCTCTCTCTCTCTCTCTCTCTCTCTCTTTTGATGTCTTACTCCTCCTTCCCTGCTTAGTGGAATCCGTTACCAGCAGCTGCTACTGCCAGAAGGATAGGCTGATGCAATTTATTTAACGTTTTACTTACCGTTGTTGTATTGAACCCCGAGTTGCTTGACTTGAGAGTCTGATAAGAAGCAGGTTGTTATAGTTGTTTTTTAAAAAAACAACCCTTTCGGTGCAAAACCTTTGGAGCAGGTTATCCTTGCTCTTTCCACCTCCATAATTTGCCTCCCATTGAGAACCTGTATATACTGCAGGAGTCAAAAAGAGGGCTGTGAAAATATTTAGACCCCTCACAACGTAAACTGTTTCAACTCCTTCCCTCAAAACGACGCTATAGAGCCCTGCACACCAGAACAACTAGACACAAGAACAGTTTTTCCCCTGAAAGCCATCACTCTGCTAAACAAACAATTCCCTCAACACTGTTCAACTATTTACAAAGTCTTCACTACTATTACTATTAATCTTCTCATCACTCCTTATCACCACTCCCCTCCCACCTGTGACTGTATGACTGTAAACTTTATCACTTGTATCCTAATGATTTCTATTGTTTCCTAGTATGATTCGATTGCTTATCGTGCCCTATGACTATCATTAAGTGATGTACCTGATGATTCTTGACTCTTGATGAATGTCTCTTTTCTTTTGTGTACACTGAGAGCATTTGCACCAAGACAAATTCCTCGTGTGTCCAATCACACTTGGCCAATAAAGCTATTCTATTCTATTCTATTCTATTCTATTCTATTCTATTCTATTCTATTCTATTCTATTCTGTATTTCTATTCTATTCTGTTCTGTATTTCTATTCTATTCTATTCTATTCTATTCTATTCTATTCTATTCTATTCTATTCTGTATTTCTATTCTATTCTGTTCTGTATTTATATTCTATTCTATTCTATTCTATTCTATTCTATTCTATTCTATTCTATTCTATTCTATTCTATTCTGTATTTCTATTCTATTCTGTTCTGTATTTCTATTCTATTCTATTCTATTCTATTCTATTCTATTCTATTTCTGTTCTATTTCTGTTCATAAATGCAAGTGTTTGACCTCTTCTCTCACCATCTTTTGAGGGGGGGGGGGGCTTTAATGTTGGCTCGTGGAATTAAAGCCTGTTTGTTTCTCTTCTAGGATTTGATGACTTTTGAACATCAGTGGGCAAACTTCTTTGCCAATTTTGACACTGAAATTCCTTTCATGCTGGAACTCTCAGAATCCCAAACAGGAGAGGTAATGGGCCAAATTTCAGAGGGATAAAAAAAAAAAACCTTCCATTTACATATCTGGCTCTAGATAGTCCTTGACTTGCCAGCATTCATTCAGTGATCGTTCGAACTTAACGACGGCACTGTAAAAAAAAAAAAGTGACCGTTTTTCCACACTTACGACCGTTGCGGCATCCCTAGTCAAATGGGGAAGCCAGATTCACTTAACAACCCTATTACTAACTGGACAACTGCAAAAACTCGTTTAATAACTGCCAAAAAGGTCATAAAATGGGAGGAAAACTCCCTTAACAACTGCCTCATTTAATAATGGAAATTTTTTTGGGGGGGAGTGTTTCAATAGAAGCCGTAAGTCGAGGACTGCTGATGCTTTCTTGCCGCGCAGCGCCTCCTTTTACAAAGTGAAGCTTGTTGTGCGTTTCGAGTCCTTCAGGCTGCTTCCCTGCCAGAGAGTAAACATCCTTTCTCTCCAAGAACAAAAAAGGCATCAATCTGGCTGGCTGAAGGCGATTTGGATGGCACCCAATGGGAGCAGGCAGGCGCAGGGCGGGAGGCGCGGGGAGTTCCGGCATTTGGACAACAGTAGGAATAGCAATGGCACTCAGGCTTTTAAGCCGCTTCGTGGTGCTTTTAGAGCCCTAAGCTCTAAGTGGTTTATACAGTCAGCCTCTTGCCCCCAACAATCCTCCTTTTTATCTCCCTTGGAAGGACAGAAGGCCGAGTTAACTTTGAGACGGTCAGGATCGGCCTCCTGGCAGTGGGCAGAATCAGCCTGCAATATGGCATTCTAACCACTGAGCCACCAGGAAGGAGAATGAGAAAGGGAATTAAGAGAGGGAGGGAGGGAGGGAGGGAAGGGAGGAAGGAAGGAAGGAAGGAAGGAAGGAAGGAAGGAAGGAAGGAAGGAAGGAAAATCAATAGCCCTTGGACTTATATACTGCTTCACAGTGCTTTCCAGCCCTCTCTAAGCAGTTTGCAGAGTTGCCCCCCCAACAATCTAGGTCCTCATTTTACCGACCTTAGAAGGATGGAAGGCTGAGTCAAACCTTGAGCCAGGATCGAACTCCTGGCAATGAGCAGAATCAGCCTGCAATACTGCATTCTAAGTACTGTGCCACCATGGCAATCAAATCGATTAGAAGAATGGAATGGAATGGAATGGAATGGAATGGAATGGAATGGAATGGAATAGAATAGAATAGAATAGAATAGAATAGAATAGAATAGAATAGAATAGAATAGAATAGAATAGAATAGAATAGAATAGAATATAAATACAGAACAGAATAGAATAGAGATACAGAATAGAATAGAATAGAATAGAATAGAATTAGAATAGAATAGAAATACAGAATAGAATAGAATAGAATAGAATAGAA